CGCATTGCTCAATAGCTAATTACCCTCCTCCATCCCCAACTCCTCCTCTGTCAGTCAGGATTCAGCCTTCTGATTCTCCTTTGAATCAGACTAATTCTAAAATGTGTACATAACATTATTGAACTTTACCGATATCTGCAGTACATTTATGTTGGTTCTGTTCTGTTTACCCCGGGGGGGTTATCGCTGCTCTCCCTGCTCTTATTAATGCTAGGCTGCATGGATGCGCAGGGAGTTCTTGCCCAGAACAGAACCGAACTGCCAATCCAAACTGTATGCTAATTGTCAATCATCTTTGACGATAGTGGTCCTGACAGAACATCCTGCCAGTCCTCCTGTTTCTCTATTTGCTGATCTCCTTGTGTCCTCATGCCCTGTCCTCCAGGGCCCCAGTTTGTATTTTAGTCTCTATGCCTCTCAGCACCCAACTTGTCGCAATGCTCCATTGGTTCTCATTCTATTTCATAGGTGCCTGGCTGCTTCACTTTTCTGGTTGCTTCTCTGACAATCAACCTATAAACTGCAGGATAAACTGCTATAGTAATAATTCTCATTGTCTGGTTTCTTTCTAGCCATTTCTGTGACACCGGTTGTCATGATCTTTGTAGTCTTTTCAAATGAAATGTCAGGATTCTAGATACAACAGCACTAAGTAATATGCTGTTTAACACAATACTTTGTTTTCAGAAGTTTCTTACTAATAAAAAATTACTTACCCACTAGCTGGTCTTACAGTAGATAGTTTGAAATGGTTTCACCTGGCCAACCTGGTCTTCAGCTAGTCTAGATGGATGCTCAGGAGGCACTGTGTCAACCAAGCAACTGATATTAAGATGAACTGGAATGATGTTTGGATGGACAGATTTCCTCAGACACACCAAGCATAAATCAAAGATAAAGCAATTTACCGAACCTAAACAGGCCAGTACTTTTTATTCCCTTTATTTATTTTATTTTGTGTGTGTGTGTGTGTGTGTGTGTGTGTGTGTGTGTGTGTGTGTGTGTGTGTGTGTGTGTGTTCCTTGGCTTGTACCGTGTTACTGTGGACAATGAAGACACATACCTTTTAGTCATGAGGAATATGTTCAGCCACCGACTAACTGTCCACAGGAAATATGACCTCAAGGTAAATAAAATTAATCCTTTACTCATTGTCTACATTTTTAATTACTGTTTTATTAATTTGTTATTGAGCTATCGTGGTGAGGAATTATTGTTACGAGTTTAGTTTGTTATACAAAACACAGTACAACTTAAGTGAAGAAGTGGAAGGATCACCAACAGACTTGTTTTGTTATGGTGACTAGACATGTATAAAGGTTGTTGTTTTTCAGTCAATTTGAACATTTAAGGCATCTATTAAATTTATTTAATTATAATTTGTAGCTGTTTCATATTCATGTAGATCAGCTATTGTTTTGTAAGCATTATTAATTATTGTTATGCATATTTTTTTTTTTTAAATATGACAGAGGAATATTTTATTTTATAGGGGTCACTGGTTTCTCGAGAAGCAAGTGATAAAGAGAAGGTAAGAACACTACAACATAATATACCACAATTCATGTTGAGTTTGTCCAAAACATTTAAATTTATGTTCCAGATAAACATACTCTGCTTTCTGTAGCAACTTACAGCAAAGTTTAGAAATATACAAATAACAACAGGTGTACAACTACCTAAAACAGCAGAGAATGGAGCTATGGCAAAATTATATGTTCAGTTCCCAGGGATCGCATGTACTGATAAAATGTATGCATGAGATGCAAAGTAAGTTGATTTTTATTTCTGCCACAATTTTTTCCTAAAAGTATGTTGATATTGAAGAATCTGGGGCTTGTTTAAAATTATCATAAATGTTAACGTAAGACAATTTCCTAAATCTTCCTACAAATTACTTTTAAAACATCCATACACAAAAATACATTTTCTTAAATCCATTCTGCTATATAAATTACACATAATTTTAGGATAATGCGCACATGAATGAGCAGTTGACCTACAGCAACTTGACCAACAGAACAAGCATTCTTAGATGGTTTGACAGCATGCTAATATGGTTTGAATGCAGAATGACAATATGACAACGGATTACTGAAACAGAATTCTTCATAATGGCAAGTGAAGTAGGAAAACAGACTGGAAAAACGGGATTTTTTTTTTACCAGACATAGTGGCATCAGTGGTAAAACTAAATTTGTTGCAACAATTGTTGTAAAAATTGAAGTAAATAAAGCAAGCGACCGTACTTTAAATGAAGTGAAAAAGAAGTGGGCTCAAGTTCTTGCCTTAGGACCACATTAGAGAGCATACTGCAGGTTGCATTGAGGTAAAACACTCTACCAAAAATATATTTTTTTAAAAATGTTAAAAGCAATACTTTAACATTTGTTAGCCTGGCATTGACATAGGTCACATGTGACCGAAACATTTGCCCTTTGTTTTCAGTAAAGTATTGCTTTTATCTTGAATTTGATGACTTATTATTTGGTAGAGTGTGCAGACTTCCTTCAAGTGTTCTACCTTTTGGTTTGAAGGTGCGGTGAGTTCCTGGCTATTCTTGCGTAAATGTATAACCAGCGATCTTTTCAATTGAATTGTGTGGTCAGACCTTGCTCAGGCATAAGCTGCATTACAGCACATTTCTTGCAAAGTCTGTGGGTTTTGCAGGGGAGTAAGTAGCCACATTTTAAGCGGATAACCTCTGTCACCTAGGAAACAAAGAATGCAGATAAGAGAACAAGAATGTCTTAATTCTATCATTTGCACAATTGAACAATAGTCGCAATAGCCTTGACTTCTCTTTGAAAGGGTTCTGTAGCAAGCAACCATAGCATTGACAGAACTTTCACTTCCACTGAAATTGCATGTTTTTGCCTAGTTTCACTCTCAAGGGTGTGATGGAGCTGTTGACAGATGTTTAAAAGATATAGCCTACTCTTGGCAGATGGTATCGACACATTATCATGGGCCAAGAAATCTATGCAATATTGGAAAACTTGCTCTCTGCATAATGCGTGGTAGGCATGCTCCTCCTATAAACAAGTACTGCCATGGCTTCATATATATGTACATACTGTATGTGTGTTCAGGTATTCATTAACATAATTACTGGATCAACTGATTCTTACCTTATAAAAGTAATTCTAAGTAATTCTAAGAATAAGAACATTTTATGCATGGGTGTACTTGGAGCACTTTTAATCATTATTACAGCACCACTATGAGGTTGAATTATGCAAGAACCCTGGACCTCTGCCATTTCATGAATCCTGGTCAATTTTTTGGCAAGTCAAGATAAGTCAGGTCAAGTCATGTCAAGTCTTTCTAGCACTTTATTCAATACTGATTTTGTCAAATCAGCTTCACAATGATAAACAGGAAATAGAAGACAATTATGGAAACTCAGCTATGGAGACAATTCCGATTCTGCTGTAAAGCAGCTTTAAAAGACAATAGTGTCATTATTTAGCTCAAGATAGTTCAGATCAATTCATCAAAGTTAATCGATCAGCTATAGGCAGTTCGACAGTAGGCAGCAATTCTGTTATTCAGCTTAAATCAGTTCAATTGATTCAAGTCAATACCAGTGTCGATGTTGCAAGATGTGATTCAGCTGTAAAGCAGCTCTACAAAAAGCAATAGTTCCAATGATGTCAGTCAATGCAGTTATATCGATAAATTACTGAAAGTTAAGTGTCTTTCCAACCCCAACTAAGCAAGCCATAAGGCTAAAGTAGCACGGAACCCAAACTCCATAAGGTGACCGACTGGAGGAAAAAAAGCCTTGGGAGAAACCAGGCTCAGCCAGGGGACCAGAGAACGGCCAGAGGAGAACTTTTCTGGCTGTGTAGAATGATCCTGGAGGCACACCAAAAGTAGACGTTTTGGATGTCTCCCTTATCTATTTAAGGCCTTGTAGTCTCTACAAAGGAGCTGATGAGTTGAATCATGTGTTTGATTAGTAAGGGTTTACTGTTGGTGTGCCTCCAGGAACGGGGTAGGGATACACTATTGTAGACTATGTCCAATGCATTGTTTCCCTTGTTACAAAGCTCACATGTTGGTAAAATTTTAGCAATACTGACTTCAGGTTTTTGTGGTTGAATCACTGGCAAAAATGGAAATGGTTGTTGCTCACTGTACAGTTCTTGGAGAGCATCTCTAGTGAATGGAGTTTGCGGCAATAAAAATGGCCATGAACTCTGTCGGCAGATAAAAGTGTTCAGCATAAACTCAACTATTGATGAACATTGTTTTGAGAGTTCTGCAGCATTATTACACCATTCTTTGTTAATATAAACATAAAAAAATCACCCTGTGAGTCTTAATGTCAATGTTGTGTCTCTGTCTGCTCAGTAGCAGTGTAGTAGCAATAATCCTTCATGATTCTTTCGAGCAAAGAATTGACTTCCTTCAAGTTTCAACTGTTTACTGAAAGTTATTGCACAATACAAACAAACAAACTCCGGTCAAAACTATCACTCCAACTTTCTTACGTTCTTAAAGGAAACATCCATTCTTAAAGGCACTTAAGACAGTCCAATAGTAAAACAAAGCAAACCATTACAGAACAAATCAGGGGGGTTCTCAACAAATGTACATAGACAACATAAACCTAGACATATTGAATAATATCTGCTTAAAGGTGTCCTATTATGCTCTTTTACAAAGTCTTGATTTTGTTTTGGGGGTGTACTAGAACAGGCTCTCATACTAGGTTTTTTGAAAAACACATTATTTTTCACATATTTTACATTATTACAACACCTCTCTCCCCAGTCTGGCATGAACGGCTCGAATAGTTCCTATATCAAATGAAGGCCCGCCTTCTGAAATACGAAATGTGCTGTGATTGGTTAGCTGGGCCAGTGTGTGCTGTGACCCGGATGATTGTAACCACATTAAGTTCATCTATCTTGGGAAAGCTAGCATGTCTCTGACATAGTGATAACACTCGTTGCCTTCTCTAGTGCAGCTCAACCAGGTCTCGTCCCATTCGTCGATCTTTGTGATATCACAAATCCCGAAAAATATGCGTTGTAGTCCAAACCAGTCGTTCGTTGTAGTTTTTTGAAAAGTGATTTCTGTTAAATAAAATATCTCCCTTTGAAGTGGACTTTGAGCTTTGTAACTTTGCAGATCTTTTTTATGCTCAAACAGCAACATTACAGACTAACTAAAGTTGAAAAAGCATAATAGGACCCCTTTAAATATTTATGCGTTTAGTGTTACATTTTTAATTATACAATTTATGGCTCTTACAAGCAGGTTAACCCGCATTTAAATGTTTTTTTTATTTAGCCATTTTCTGTTAAAACAAACATGCATCTTATGCTGGTATAGTCAGATGGAGCTGAATACATTCAGGGCTCCAGACAAAAAAAATCGAGTAAGGAGCCATTGGCTCCTATAAGAAAAAACTTACGTGCCAAATTATTTTTTTTAGGTGGCCACAAAATAAACGTTTTATTTATTTATTATTATCTTTTTTATTTATTTATTTTTTTTTACATTTTAACATTTCAATCATACTGTCATGTGTTTATGTCTCATCTTTTCTTGACTTTATCAGCATTTTAATCCATTTTGTAGATGACCTGGGAACTGTATTTATTGTTTGAATTTCGTTATGAATTTGGCATAATTTTAAAGATGATACTTTGTTTATTCAAAAGTAACAAAGCACAAAGCTTTTTGCGATTACTGGATGGCACTTCAAATAATATGAAGTTCATGCATTAACAGAACACAGAAGATCTTGATAAGAAGAAGCCATATTAGTAATGATTATAAACAAGAATAGTTAACGATATTGCCAATATTCCACACAGCTGACAGCTTTACCTGTTGTAGTTTGTTCAAGTTGTGCACGAAATAGATGCTGCTTTTGTGCACTTTCACTTCGCACGTCTCCGTCATTTCGATCAGAGATGAGGACTGTTTGAAACTCTTTTTTCCACTAAAACTTCTGTTTAATACGTGAACATAACAAAAGATGTGATCGCAAAACAATCAGGAAAAAGGGCATTACATGCAAATTTTTAAGTTATAACATGTAAATAGGCCTATATATAGTCGCCAATGGCGACCTCAGCAAAAACTTCACTCGCAAATTAATATTTTTAGTCGCAGTCTGGAGCCCTGACATTCCAGTTTATTGTCAATGGACAATTTCGTAAATATCACATTATTGCTTTTGTCTTCTTATTTTCTGACACCGTGTTGGAAATCTTGTTTTTGTAAAGTCTTAAACGGAATCCTAAAGTGCATGGCAATCCTTGCCTTTGTCTCCCAACAATATAAAGAAATTAGATCAGATTTGAATGAGATCTGATCTGACAGTATGCATTTGTTTTTTCTTGTTGTCTTGTTTCAAACGTATGAAATGTTGGATCCTTCATGTATTTCTTGAAGAAATAATGTTTACATGTGATCACTACATTTTATTTTTTTTCTTATGTATATTCAATTTTTTTTCTTGCTGACATCTAAAAGAGTTTTGTCTTTTAAAGAAGCATTTGCAGCATTGTATTAACTGTTATTTAGTGCTCAAAGAATATCTTAAATATGTTTCTTCGTGTCCTTCTGTCAAGCCATATGCTTCCCAGTTATAAATTGACATTGTTTTCTTAAAATTGAAAATGTATAATTTGAAAACCCAGGTAAAGGAACTGCCAACCTTCAAGGATGTAGATTTCAGAAATAACATGCAGCGAGTGTACATCAGTGAAGAGGAGAAAGAAAAGCTTTTGGATAAACTGAACAGGGACATAGAGGTGAGAGGATTTAATTATATAATTTACATATTATTACATTCAGCTCAAATGTACTTTTAACTGTATTGTGTTACATGTGAAAATGTTTATTTATAGTTTTTACCCACTTTAAAACTGAGAAGCCAAGGTCATTCTTACACCCAATAAACCCTTTCACTTTCTTTCTTTTTTTTTCTGAAAATATGAATCAAGCATGTCTCAGTGTCCAAAACCTTAAGGAATATTTTCATCTGCCAATAGCAAAATATTTAATAGGTTTTTATATTTCATATTTTCATAGTTTCATAGGTTTTTGTTTTACAAGGTTCATAGGTTTTATGTATACAAATATTAAATTGTACCGTACATGCTGTTTGCCCTCTTGTATGAAGCAGAGGAGGAAATATTTTTTGTATTGCGCATGATAATATGTTCTGCTCAATTAATACTACCTATATTATTTTCTATAGCAAGAGACTTATACCGAAGAACAACCTGGTTTTCTTTACTTTTTATAAGGGACATACTGAAATTAATAGTCTGTTTGTATATCTGTGTTTTGGCAAGTTTCTTGTGCGGTTGAAGATCATGGACTACAGCCTGCTGCTGGGCATTCATGATGTCGGGAGGGCAGAGCAAGAGGAAGCGGAAGAAATTAAGGACTCTTTAAGTGAAGAGGAGGAGGATTCAGCGAATGACCTATCCCTTACAGCTGTGGGGTCTTTTGGCACTTCCCCTGAGGGCATTGCAGGGTACATGAGCTCTTATAAACCTCTTGGTCCAGGAGAGTTTGACCCTTATGTTGATGTGTATGCCATCCAGAGCGCAGTTGGTGAGTCACATTCCAGTCTCTACAGTGTAAATAAATTTAATAGGTCAACATTATTTGCATGTCAAGATCTACATGACAACATTAATATAAATAAATAATGGATCATGATAATTAATGCAAATCAAATAAAGCATAATAAGTTTGGTAGAGATACCAGTTCTCAACTTTTCTATAATCTTGAACCCACTGAGCGTTAATCTTTTCATGAAGGTAATAGGTTTTGCTTTTAGTTCATTGTTTTCCTCCCAAAATAAATGTCCTTTAATAATTTTGTGTTCATTTTAAATGCCTGATGGCTTTCAATGCAGATTCAGATTTGCGATCATAGTACATATCATTTGAATTTGTTTAAATCTTTACATTCAATTTTTTTTAGGGCCTGGTGCGAGGACCCTATTGGAATTGTTCTGTTTATTATTAGGGTCCAAGCCACTAGGGGCACAGGGCCCTATTGTTCTTCTAAGTAGGGATGCACCGATACCACTTTTTCCAGTACTCGCCCAATACCGATACTTTTATTTTTGGTACTAGCCGATACCGAGTACCGATACTAATATTTTCATTGCATTTGTACATTTTTTAAATATTGGGTACAGAAACCAAAAGAGTATGTATAATGTTAGTTGGTTAACTGTATCGGGGCATTTTAACGAGTACGAGTACAGGAGCTCAGTATCGGTGCATCCCTACTTTAAGGATTTTTTTTTTTTTATGTAGATTTTTAGGGGTTTTGGGGCCCTTAAAATGCTCAAAAACTCTTGAAACTTTGCACTCATGTTGGAATCTGCGGCCATCAGGGCCGGGCTGAGTTTCACATGGGGGGGTCACCGAGGGAGCCCGTGACACAGCCTTTAATAAGGCCATTTTTGAGGGGCTCTGTAGTGCACACCGTTTGACCTACAGTCACCAAAATTTATACACATATCTCATCAGCCAAAACAATTTTCGTGCTGACAGTCAGCACTCTGCCCATCAGGAAGTCGACTATTCAAGGTTTTATGAAAAGCGCACGCTGTGGAATTTGCAATACTGCTCCTAGGATTTTCATCTGATCGCCCCCAAACTCGGTCAACATGATCTCAAGACGTTGGGGATGCAAAATTGCCAAGGGATTTTTTTATATCTCGAACGGTTTGGCCCTGGTGAGATGACGAAATTATGGCGAGAAATGAGAAACAACAATGAGAAACACACTTTGTCTGATTTTGATCAAACTCCAGCAGTTTGTTTGTTGTATGAGGCCGATCACATAGACGTGACTGTGATGACTGAAAGTTATAGCACTGCCAAATGGCAGCAGGAAGTGTATCATTTTCAAAATGAAATCAGTCTCTTATTTTTACTCGATTTTCTTTAAACTTCATCAGAATAATGTCAAGACACGGAAGACGTAAGACTGCAAAAAGAGTATTGATATCTTAAATACTGTTGCCATGGCAACATGTCAAACTTTAAAACTCTTTTTTGGTGGTTTTGAGGCACTTAACATGCTTAGAATTTCATGAAACTCGACACACACATTAGTATTAATGATAGTTTTTACATACGTTTTACATATGGGGAACAAGTCATTCTGAGGAAACATACTTAGTTTCATGAATTTACAATGCTTTGAGCATTAAAAGCTTTAACAGCAAATTAAAAACTATCAAACATTTCAGCTTAGATGAAGGCTGTAATACTAAGGTTGTCCACTAGATGGAGATATAGTATAAGAAATCTTTTCTTTCTCTTGTCTGTTTCCATCCATTAGAAAGTGAAAGTGAAAGTGAAAGTGAAGTGATGTGCGGCCAAGTATGGTGTCCCATACTCAGAATTTGTGTTCTGCATTTAACCCATCCAAGTGCACACACACAGTAGTGAACACACGCACACCGTGAACACACACCCGGAGAATGACAAATACAAGCATAGAATCAGTTGATATGAACTGTACTGCCAATATAGTCTTATATAATTATTTTACAAATGCTTTTAGATCATTAAAATCATTTTTATATCCTTTCCTTTCTGTGAGTGCATTTGTTTCACTCTTTTGCTATTCTAGAGTAACCCTTTCATTGCTGTGACACAACAACCAGACTGCCAGAGGGTTAAATGCATATTGCTTGCTGTGCACTTTTTTCCTGATGCCACCAGGGTTGCGGTGCCACCAGGCTGGAGCCCGTTATCGCTGCTTGCAGCTATATTTAGGGCCCGAGCACCAAAAGTGCAAAGACCCTCTTGGAATTGCTCTGTTTATTAGGGCCCGAGCACCACGGTGCGAGGACCCTCTTGGAATTGCTCCATTTATTATTATTATTATTATGTCCCATGCACCATGGTGCGAGGACCCTCTTGGAATTGCTCTGTTTCTTCTTCTTCTTCTTCTTCTTCTTCTTCTTCTTCTCCAAAGTGAATTGCATTTTTGAGGGCCTAAACCATAGACTGTATAAAAACATGGACGTATAGTGTCCGTGACATCACCCGTAGATTTCTGAAAAGCATTTTTGAAGCCTAAAGTGGGCGGAGACGGCCATCGCCATCTTGGCATCACGTCACCGCGCGTCACTTCCGGGTAATCGAAAATGGGCAAAGAGGCGGGATGTGAGTGGAGCTGGTTGCTGAAACCATGCCCACCTAGCTCGACGGTGGTGATAGCAGCGCAAATCCATCTGTCACTCAAGTGGCCACGCCCTTAATTATGTAGAACTTTAAGGCTTAATATAATTTAAACAGATGAGTTATAAAAAGATTCTCCCCCCTCATATAAAAAAATTCACCCCCTCACAGTTGTCATGAAGGGCAAAATAAGCTATGTAGACAAAAAACGCTTTTTGTACCAGGCTGTGAACATATTTTTTTCTGCTGTGAAGTTGGGCATTTTAACATGGGAGGTCTATGGGATTGACTCCCTTTTGGAGCCAGCCTCTAGCGGCCAGTCGATGAATTACACTTCCGTGTTGGTTTCAAGAGAGAGACCTGAAGGTTGCCGCTTGGCCTAAACATGCTCGAAAACTCACAAAACTTTTCCCACACATCAGAAAATGTATCATCTGATGTGGATTTCAGAATTAGGTGTGGCAAAATGGCTCAATAGCGCCACCTATAAAATTTCAACGAAGCACCCCTCCCGCTACGTTCACATACGTGTACGAAATTCAGTACAAGCATGTAATGTCCCAATACCAATCCTAATAACATGCTAGCAACACTTAGCTAAGTGCTAAAGCATGCTATTAATGCAATAAAACAGGACATTGCTGTAACTCAGGCATGCAATGTCCAATCTGCCCCAAACTTAACATGTTTAATAAGAGTCCTGGCCTGAACACATCTACATGCCAATATTCAGTTAGTCATATTTTACTTCCTGTTGACAGTAGGTGGCACTGTTTAACACTGTGATGCACTATTAGCAACACACTAATAAACCATTGAGTGCTAAACATGCTAGAAACATGCTCAAACATGCTAGCAACACTTAATAAACCATTGAGTGCTAAACAAGCTAGAAACATGCTAGCAACACTTACTATGTGCTAAAGCATGCTATTAATGCAATGAAGCAGGAAGTTGTTGTAACTCATGCATACAATGTCCAATCTGCCCCAAACTTCACACGTTTGATAAGAGTCCTGGCCTGAGCACATCTAAAGGCCAATATTCAGTTATAATCATAGTGCCACCTGTTGGCAACAGGATATTTCATGTTTTACACTAACTCAAACATACCATGTTCAGTCTGCACCAAACTTTTTGATAAACATCCTGGCCTGAAGACATTCACATGCCAATATTCAGTTATAGTCCTACTGGCAGCAGGAAGTTTGCACATATAAAATACAATATTTACCACTTTAAATGCATATTGTCCACCGTTCACTGTTTTCCTAAGGTGGAGGTGGCTCCGTTTATGAGGGCCCTTTCAACGCTGTTTGCAGCTTTAATTATTCTTATGTTTGTCTCTCCTTAATCTAGGTGCCCCACATAGAGAGGTATACTTCATGGGTCTAATAAACATTCTGAGCCAGTATACAAAGAAGAAAGCAGCCCATGCAGCAAAAACAGTCAAGCATGGAGTAAGTAACACTTTATGAATGGACCACTGAGACTTAATTGTGTAGTTATTTTGATTATTTTGATTGTTATATGCTTATTACACTTTAATTGTAAAAAGAATAAACTGAGCTGTAAATACTCTGATCTTATCATTATACTTATTACAGATATTACGTTACAATTTTTTTTGGTTCTGTTCTTTTCATTTTGCTTTTTTTATTTTTTATTTAAAGGCTGGGGCTGAGATCTCTACAGTTCATCCTGAACAATACGCCAAGCGGTTTCGAGAATTCATTGCAAACATCTTTGCCTAATTGAGAGCATTATATTCTTCCAAATCTAGTGGACCAAAAAAAAACATTGATTTGGAGCTGATGGTTTGTACGATTTCCTGAAAGCATTATTTAATTATTAAAATGTTTAGCATATATGAATGATAAAAGTTGTCATGAAATTGTATTTTAGAATGGCAATAAGAATTTTATAATGCAAATATAAAATTTGTACAATAAAAACTGCTGATACGGTCCATGAAGTGGATGTGCAGTCATAACTGTGAAACATTGCAATTTAAATAGTTTAAATAAAATGTGAAATTTTAGTCTGCAGGTTTTTCAAACAGTGAATATTTGTATGTATTTTCACAAAACAAATATGAAAGTTTATGTTTGTCATTTAACTCTTTTTGACTTTTTGATGTAGCCTATAGGTTTGAAATCATTCAAAAAGCTAAGAGACGGGCAAAAATTTGACAAGGTATAATTTGTTACAAATAAAAGTATTAGTAGAAAATTCGAATAAGGTCTATTTTGTAACAAAATACAGCACAAATGCTGAAAAAATAAAAAAAATTATTCGAAAAAAATTGGGGTATTTCTCAGTGATGAATTGCTGAGAAATATATTTCCAGATCCTCCAGTGATTAGTCTTAGAAAAAGTACAACCTTAGGGGACAAATTAGTACATAGTTATTTACCACCTTGTACGTTGTTGGTTAGGGAATAAACCTAAGGGCTGTTTTAAATGTCATCACTGTAACCATTGTGATAATGTGGTACAGGGTAAAACATTCTTAGATGAAAATACAAATAAAGTTTATTCTATTAGACATTTTATTAATTGTCAAACTACCCATGTTATTTATAGACTAGAGTGTCCTCAATGTAAGGTGTTTTATGTTGGAAGAACAAAAAGACGATTACTGGATCGATTGGCTGAACACAAATATGCCATCAGGAGGGGTAATGATGAATATCCTATGGCAAAACATTTTAATTAATGCATAAAATGAATCCTTCAATCCTTAGAATACAATGTATTGATCATGTGAATATTACTATTAGGAAAGGCAATAGAGAACTTATGTAGCCATCTGATAATAAAGGCTTTTTATTTACAAGAGTGCCATGGTCATTTTGAAGTTTTCTTTGATGATATCAGGGGCGGATTTAGTGAATTGGGGGCCCCAGGCAAAATATAGGAATGGGGCCCTATACATTTTCACACATTTTCCTAGATCAACCTTGAGGTTCCTTTTTTGTTGTGATGCTTGCTGCTGCACAATGGTGCCCCATAGTTGTGTCCAATGTTTCTACATTTTCATGTACATGTTATAATGGATTTCTTTCATGGGGGGGGGGGCAAATGATCAGTGAGAGCAGAAGGAATGTGTCACACGTTTTAAACTCAACAAAATGGTAAAATACATATATCAAGAGCATGCTCACAGATGAGAACAAAACAGCATTGGATGAAGTAGATTAGAGCCCTGCACGGGTCTCAGATAGGCCCCTAGCCCGTCTTTTCCCAAAAAAAGCTTATACTACTGTTTCAGCTATTAAAACAGTTCGGTTTTGTATGCAATGGAAAAGTGATTATATTTAGTTTAGTTTTTTTTATAAAGTAAATTTAGAAAAACGTTTGGAGCATTTTTTGTTCGTTAATA